ATGTATCAATAACATGTCTTCTGTACACGAACTAATGTATCATTTGACTACTGTACATATTTTTCATAACAACATGGACCTTTGATAAATTTATTTTATTAGCAAGCGCCAGGCGACAATTTGATATCATCCAAAGCGAGGTCGCTAGAGTAGTCGGTTCCCACCGCACCCGATATCACTACGTTAAACGGCAGTGTCTCCATGGTAACGTCTACACGGTTGTGCACCCAGTGGTCTCCCCTGTTTCCATACTGAAGATCCAGTGTGCGCAGGCGTGTTTTAGTACGCATGGCCTGGAAACGAAATTCCTTAATGTGAATAGTGCGTTTTACCATTTTAGCGAAATCACTCGTTCTTACAGTTAAGTCAACTGCTCTGATTATTATATTCAAGCGTTATTTTTGTCAAATACATAATGTATATTAAATATGAATCAAATTCGATATGTACCATTACACGGTTTGTATAACATCTAATATATGTTGAGTCGTTTTTTAATGAAACAAATGACCTAGAAAGGACAAACAGTCAGTTTACAAGAGGTCCCGGGGTCCTTAACGGTCACCTGAGTAATGGATGACATCAACATTGGCCAGTGGTTTTCTGATTGTAAAACCGCATTTTGGTAAAGGATGGAGCTATAACACAAAAAACCAGAGTGTACTCTCATCATAAACCGCTTCGCGGTTTATTTAGGGTACACTCCGGTTTTTTTTTTATGTGTTATATCTCCATAACATAAACAAGAGGCCCATGGGCCTTAACGGTCACCAGATGTATATAACAAGAGGCCCATGGGCCTTAACGGTCACCAGATTTATGTAACAAGAGGCCCATGGGCCTTAACGGTCACCAGATGTATATAACAAGAGGCCCATGGGCCTTAACGGTCACCAGATTTATGTGAAAACTGATGTTATCGATGTTGCCAAATGAAAAAGAAATCCCTTTGTAACAAAGGTAACTTGAACTACATGTAATGCAAAAGTAATGTGAAAGATCTGGGTTGTATATGTACTATGTACAAATAGTGGTTCTGTCAGACCCTTCCATCTATGAAGAGTATATGATTCTACCATATCTGGGTATTGAGAAGAAGATTTTTGAAAATTTAGTCAATTCGACCCATTTTGGCCCCGCCCCTCACGCCCCTAGGGGCTGGGGACCATATAATTCAAAACGTTGGCTGAACTTTGGCCATGGAAGGTGTCTGCAAAATGTCACTGAAATTGGTTCAGAGGTGTTTGAGTAGAAGTTGAAAATGTAAATTGTTTACGAACGCACGACGCACGACGACGGACACAAGGCGATCGCAATAGGTCGCCTGGGAAATCTCAGGTGACCTAAAAAAGGGTCGAACATACCCCGGTCTCCCCTATTGTTATGTCGGTCTTAATCTCATTAGAGTTTGTGTTTTATTTTTATTCCTCGACTTGCCGACTTTAAAAAAGGTTTATCTTATATCATTCTGAAAGCAGTATTCTGAATCAGTAAATATCAGAGATCAACAAAAGCTACGCTCTTTTAAGGCTTTGACTTTTCATATTATAATATTTGAATTTAGGTGATTTTTTTGTTTTGACCGTTTGCAGAACTGATTCATATAATATCTTCCAAGTGTGTTACCAGTTAGGGTTATGTATGAATGTTTGCAGGATTGATACAAATAGTATTTTCTTTTAAATTATAAAAGTAAAATTCTTTATTCTTTTTACTCAGAAAAGCAATTTAAGTTACCCCTTCTCCCTTTATTTATTTTGTCACCGTGTTTTGCTAATTTAACGTTTAATATAAAAAAAAGTTCTGCTACTAAACTTTTTGTAATCAATCAAAAGAAAACGTGTTTCCCATTCTAAACCAGCCACAACAATGGGAGTTCGTGTTTCTTTTTTGTCCCATTATTATTTGTGTTATTTTTCACCCTTTTCGAGGTCAAAAATCAAAAAGTGCCTCAGTTACACTAAATATGTCAACAAATACCAATAGTATATAATTTCACACTTTGTTGCAAACTATTTTCATCATATTGAAAATTATACCATTAAACATTACAGCAAAAATGAACGAGCTATTATTAAAAATGGCGACACAATGACGATTTAAGTTATCAATCTAGTGTCAAAAAAGGTGAAATTCTGGCCTTTCATGAAGCGCAAGAAAGATACATTTTCAAAATTGCCGTAAAATTGGTCATTTGTTAAAACTCTTGTAAAAAGCTTCTGCAAACAACACGTATCTGAAAAACCGTGTCAAAAAAAACAACTTGATGCGTGTTGTTTGCAGAACTTTTTGAGAAGACTTTTGACAAATGACCAATTTTGCTTTAAAAAAAAAAGTCAATACGAGTCTTGAACGTGATTTCAACCTATAAGGAGTACACCCTTTTTATGGACATTATGAAGCTGTAGAGAATTTGCCCTTGTTATAATTGATGTTTAACAATCATATCGAGGATGGGAACAGGTCATATAAAACGGGAGAAAAAATGAAATCATTGATTTAATTCAGGAGCTCATAAAATAAAGATCGTTTCATGAAAATCCAACGGTGAGATTCAGAGAGGTTTATTAACGTTTTTGCAATTCTGTGACTCCTAATATTATAAGTATATTGGTATGAAAAGATTTATACTTTCAATGACTATGTCTAGTATAAGCGTGTAGAGCCCTTAGCGACTGCTACTAATCAGAAGCTGGATTGAGGCCATGTTTACATCATCACAATGCATACGCGAATTAACACGACAGTTGGTTTGTTGGTTGGTTGTATATTAACCACCCTACAACAGCTAAGGTCATTTAAGGTCATTTAAGGTCATTCAAGGACGTGCCTGCATGTTTATTGTGTATTGCTACACGTGTGTATGTGTACCAGAGACAGGTTAACTATGTTTCTAACTGAGTAAGAGGTAGTGTTCATAAGATAAACGTGTCGATTGTTACTCGGATGTATTTTGCTAATAAGAAGAGAATGAAAGTTTGCGGCGCAGTAACTCTAAGAGTATTACAAAAAAATGGTGTCATCATTTCATGAAATGTTGGTAAATTCCACCTGAAAAGTTTTACAATATGTGACCACTTATGACCCAGCCGATCGACCAGCCCCGTTTTGAATATGGATACTGATCCCTATCACCTCCGTGTATGCAGTAAGTGTAATCCCTCACCTGTTTGTAGACAGTAAGTGTAACCCTTCACCTATGTGTAGATAGTAAGTGTAGCCCCTCACATGTGTGTAGACAGTTAGTGTAACCCCTCATCTGTGTGTAGACAATAAGTGTAACCCCTCACATGTGTGTAGACAGTTAGTGTAACCCCTCACCTGTGTGTAGATAGTAAGTGTAACCCGTCACATGTGTGTAGACAGTTAGTGTAACCCCTCACCTGTGTATAGATAGTAAGTGTAACCCGTCACATGTGTGTAGATAGTAAGTGTAACCCCTCACCTGTGTGTAGACAGTAAGTGTTACTCCTCACCTGTGTGTAAACAGTACGTGTAACCCATCACCTGTATGTAGACAGTACGTGTAACCCCTCGCCTGTGCGTAGACAGTTAGTGTAACCCTCACCTGTGTGTAGACAGTACGGTAACCCTAACCTGTGTGTAGATAGTAAGTGTAACACCTCACCTGTGTGTAGACAGTAAGTGTAACCCCTTACCTGTGTGTAGACAGTAAGTGTAACCCTCACCTGTGTGTAGACAGTTAGAGTAACCCTCACCTGTGTGGAGACAGTAAGTGTAACCCCTCACCTGTGTATAGATAGTAAGTGTAACCCCTCACCTGTGTGTAGACAGTAAGTGTAACCCTCACCTGTGTGTAGACAGTTAGTGTAACCCCTTACTTGTGTGCAGACAGTAAGTGTAACCCTCACATGTGTGTGACAGTTAGTGTAACCCTCCCCTGTGTGTAGACAGTTAGTGTAACCCTCACCTGTGTGTAGACAGTAAGCGTAAGCGTCACTTGTGTGTAGACAGTTAGTGTAACCCCTCACCTGTGTGTAGACAGTAAGCGTAACCGTCACTTGTGTGCAGACAGTAAGTGTAACCCTCACATGTGTGTAGACAGTTAGTGTAACCCTCACATGTGTGTGACAGTTAGTGTAACCCTCATCTGTGTGTAGTAAGTAAGTGTAACCCCTCACATGTGTGTAGACAGTTAGTGTAACCCCTCACCTGTGTGTAGACAGTTAGTGTAACCCTCACCTGTGTGTAGTAAGTAAGTGTAACCCCTCACCTGTGTGTAGACAGTAAGCGTAACCGTCACTTGTGTGTAGACAGTACGTGTAACCCCTCACCTGTGTGTAAACAGTACGTGTAACCCATCACCTGTGTGTAGACAGTACGTGTAACCCCTCGCCTGTGCGTAGACAGTTAGTGTAACCCTCACCTGTGTGTAGACAGTACGGTAACCCTAACCTGTGTGTAGATAGTAAGTGTAACACCTCACCTGTGTGTAGACAGTAAGTGTAACCCCTTACCTGTGTGTAGACAGTAAGTCTAACCCCTCACCTGTGTGTAGACAGTACGTGTAACCCCTCGCCTGTGTGTAGAAGTAAGTGAAACCCTCACCTGTGTGTAGACAGGAACTGTTATTCCTCACCTGTGTGTACACAGTAATTGTGCCTACGTTGGCGCCAAACATATGGTACCAGTAGTCCAGGCAGTACGATTGACCAGCATTCAGGGCGGGTGACACCAGGTGAGCAACATCTCCACTGGAGTTAGGACTGGACGCCTCGATATAAACGTACTGTCCAGTCCCTGGTGTAAAACATACAAATTCCACCACTTGATGTCTAGCGATTCATAAGTAGTCTTACTCTCCTCTCTATCTTTCTCATTTGTCATCTTTACTACTATACAGCCGAAACTGTCTATAACTAAGTCTGAAGTGTTAAAGAATAATACAAGGGGCCCAGCTCGTACCTCAGATTTCAATATGTTCCCCCTAAAAACATAAATTTAATGTTTTGCTAACGATATTGATAATCAGTAAAATAAATTAAACAAACTTACCCAGCAAGAACAAACTTTGAAAACAATTTAAACCTGAAAATCATATAATTGTTGCATCGCATTGGCTTCCCAAATACATGATCCGTCATCCTTTCACACAAACAACTGACCTGAATGCTTTTAAAATTCGAATGTGAAAATAGTCCCGGAATCTAGCTGTATTCATTTCTCATCTGTTTTCCGTATTGTTCCCTGCACCGGAAAAAAATGTAAGTCTATAATCCGTATTCTGATTTTGTAAATTTGGCCAAGTCCAAATTCTCCTTATCAAATATTTTCTATGTTTTCTCCGTAAAATGAGGAAGCCATTTTTGGCAGAATTCCGCAAGCTGAGTACCATACTAGTCTATCATAGGAGTACATGAAATAATTATTGCAAGAAGGACTACATGTAAATAAGCTTGGGTGGGTAAGACTCAACGAACATAAGTAGGTTATTCATTTCAAACTATCAAGTAAATGGTTATGGAGTTTGTATCTCACTGTATCCATGTTATGGCCGAGGGAGTAGGTCAGGACCCCGGGCCAATCCTGGTAGCATGTTGTCTTCTCTCCATGTCTAGCAATATTACATTTGGTTTTATCTTTGGAATAACATCCCAATGAGAGCCACATAAGCTGTTTATTTAAACCTGAGTTCCACTTGCTCTAGACCATTTGATAAAAATATCTCCAATCGCTTCAAAGACAAATGGTTTTACATACTTACAGTAGCTCTATTTCCCGTATTTGGCCCCATCCTCTGTTCAAAGTGACAACACTATCCATCGAAACAAACTGTAGGCCCCTTTCCCTACAGGTGATCTACGAGTTTGGTGATAATCCCTATTATCACACCTCCGGAGAAGCCTTCAAAGTTTTACCTGTATTTCCACTATTTGGCCCCGTCCCTCTGACCCCCAGGGAGCAATTCTATGTTAATACAAAATTGAATCCCCTTTTGTCAAATGTGCTCGAGAGCAATTTTGGTCAAAATCCTTACATTTGTAAATAAAGAAGGATTTTTTTATTTCCCTTTGTGGCCCCTACTCGCATCCTTCTACCCCAAAGGTGGTTCACAGCCTCAGGTTTTAAAAACTGTTCACGTCAGCATACTCCAGACTACATGTGGTTTAAATCCTTCCATTGGAACACTAAGACAAAGATTTGTCTCCATGTCTCCTATTGAGCCCTGCCCCTCCACCCTTAGGGTGCCTCACAATGTTCATACAAAATTGAATTCCTTTTGTCCAAAGATGCTCAAGACAAAGCCTGGTTGAAGTCCCTTCATTACTACAAATGTGGAAAGACTTTACATATTTTCCTTTATTTCCCCTTTTGGGTGGTCCCACCCTTCTGCCCAAAAAGGGGGAGGGGCTATTCTGTTTTCCTCCCACATTAACACTCCCTGACCGCTACCATCCGCGCAAACAAGAGTGATAAATATATAAGTCGAAAGAAGTTGTCTCGCAATTGTTGTAGAATAACTAGTTTTTACCAAGGATTACCTGTTGTATGGTCCCCGCTCGGCCCTGTGTCGACAGAGGCTGTAGGGCCACTGTTAAGTGTCCAATCAAAGTCGTCAGCGGGTATGGTATCCTGAGTCCACCCACAGAGATCGGTTTCAAAGTCACACGAAGCGTTGACTGAACCTTAAAAACGTTACAATGAAGAATGGTTATCGAGTGAAACCCTTACAGACACACACAGTGCATTACGTATAGCTGTTTGTATTACCTCTCCCCTCATTAAATATAGCTGTTTGTATTACCTCCCCCCTCAATAGACAATGTGCGTTTTATTAATGGCGAGATCTTTAACGACAACCGTTACAGAGCCCCATCTCCATCCCCACAACTACCAATGTAAACAAGTGGCGTTCGAGAAATAAAATAAAATACAAATGTATCATACAGGGGAGACAAATGGCGTAACCTTGGCGTACATCTTTATAACTGTCGGCATCAGAGGCTGTAGCGGCTGTGTCTGATCGGAACAGAAACACATCTACACATATCCTCCAGTAACAGTGTATCATAGCAAACTTCCGGGTACCATTTGGTGAAAAAGTGGGAGCGCAATGAATATAAAAGAATGATATGAATCGAAGTTAAAATAACAATTCTCAAATTACTGTCAATATCACAACATTTAACGGCCAATCAACATAGATTAAGTTATTCAATTAACAGTCATTATATAAGGCTGGGTAAAGTGTAAAATCAAATCAGGAGATCGCTAACGAACTTTGTCTCTGCGGCTTTCTACAAAGCTTGGATACCATTCACCGATTTAAGGTTCTACAGTGTAATTTGATGTTGTATTTGCATTCCTTCTAAATATGATTGAAGCATGGATTTATTTCAATCCAGATAATATAATCCTACGCCATGTCTATATAAAGGTGTGTTCTACTTACTGCTTTTGTACAGAAGATACACTTTTGTCTCGCAAACTGATGACGAA